GCAATCCTCAGAGACAACACAGCTCCTACTTCTTGGTACTATTGAAGGTAAACTCGAGAATGTCATGTATGGGGCAGTAACCACAACGGACGACGAAATGAAGATTCCGTCGGCCTGCTCAAAAGAAAGCGTGCAAGATAGCAAAGTGCTTTACAAAATTATTCATTCGAGTTGTCGCGATCCTTTCCGCTCTGTCGCTTTGAAATGGAGAATGCGACTATGTGTCACTCGACACAACAGGGATGACTAAACTCTATGGATGTGAACGGATAGGATACAGTATTTCACTTTCCGTATCTCTTTCGGAAATTCCAAGACGCACAACATTGAACGAGAAAACATGTCCGTGTGTTCATTGTACCGCCAAAAAAACACCAACTATCGTGGAATGTTACGTACGCGGATTGTTTAACTTTAAAGCGAAAAAGGAAGTGTTTAAGAACATTTCTATTTAAACAATTGCGACGCAGTGGTCGGTTTTTACACGAATGAGCGCATGTGCTCTCGCAAAGAAGCTATCTTGGAAGGTATGCAAGGGCTCTGAGTGGAACTCTCAATTTTTTCGAACCAATCGGTTGGCCGACAACCTCTACGATTTGACAGTACCTACCCATCGACGTCGACCAGCAACTGCTAACGTATGTGGTATATGTTTTCAAACCTTAACCTTAATCATATGTATCTGACGTACCTGCACGAGCTGCAAGCTGCCAGTCTGCTCGAAATGCGTCGACAAGAGAAAAGTCATTGTTCTCAAACCCAACCAACACACGGCACTCGAATAAAAGCGTTTGTTTCGTATATCGTGCATGACGGCAGTGGAAAGATACGATGTGATGCTTATAGTGAGAGAGGAGCTCGTTTCAAAACCGAGATTGGAGTAGGAAACGACGACATGTATTCGGCCCGAACATAATTGTCAATTGACAACTCTAGCTTCTACTCTTGCTTCGAATCTTGACAGCTCACCGTGTGACCAACTTTGATTTGACAATAGCAACATTGTGGAGCAGCACGAAAAGGGAGTGACGCGAAATAGAATGAATCTTAGTTCGTCGATATTTATACAATGGAAGAAAAAAAAATTGACTTTGTAGAAACATTTTTAAATAAAAGCTAGAAATGTGTATATTTTTGGAACACGCAACACAGAATCTAGATCTAGATGTGGCTAGAGAGCAATATAATTTACTACATCTAAAATTTCAATGCGAGTTCCTATCACAATCCCCCAAGGAATAAGAAATAAGCAATGTGGGTATTACGTGGCCAACATTTTAATAGTGAACGACAATTTTATCACTTTATCAATATCTTTCCGTGTATTGATCATTGAAGTTGCCACAAAAGCATACGAAACAAGTTTTACGATCAGCTGCTTACCTATCTGGTTCAATAGCTTGATAACTACAGACGAAGTCGACACGCTGCTCAAAACTTTTGAAAAGAAAAACATCCATGTGTCTTTAATAATAGATAGGTACAGGCAGTACTACGATATCATGAGCAATCCCACGACTAACATTTTGTACTCAAATGTCAATGCCATCTAGATTTCTTGCACAAATTTAAAAATTGTGTTTCATTAGTACAAT